AAAGAAGTCAGTGTGGGTATCTGGATCTATTCCATATGATCTTAGAAGCCATCAGCAGTCGTTTTTTACCATGAAGAACAGAGAAGTAGAGGAAGCTGATCTGAAGATAGAGAATGAAACAGACAAGCAACAAGAAAGCAAGGGGCTAGAAGAAAGGGGTGAAGAGTTAAAGAAGTACAGATTAGTAGTTGATAGATGGTCACAGGGATGGGGAGCATGGCACAGGGAATGCAGTCAGTATTAATGTAATAGCGAGGTGTAGAGCCAGAAGAGAGAAAGAGCAATCGTGGGATCGTTTTATAAACTATATAAATGTCTAACCAAACTAATAATAAAAATATAGATAAATAAGTAAATATATAAATAAATAAGGTTACTTGTGACATGGACTCTGAAAGAAAAAGAAAAAGAAAAGAAAGCAAGGCATAGACCTAACAACATTTAGGTTTCTGGTCACTCCTGAAACCCAGCTGTATCCACTATCCTAGATTGCAAAATAGTCACAAGTCCTTCCACTCCCTATTTCCATCCTTTCAATGTGACTTTGGAGCTCTTCCCATGAAAAGGTGAAATCTATTTTTCCACTTCTTGAATCTGGAAAGTAACCTGTGTTGACCAATGGGATATGTGGCAAATGCGACACAAAGAGAGACTTGAAAAGCACTTGTACATGGGAGCTTGCCCTCCTGCTGTTCTTGGAAGTTTGAGATCTCTACTTGAACAAGCCTGGGCTAGCCTGGTGGATGGTGAGAGACATGTTGCCCAGTTGCTCCATCATCTAGATGACTACCAGCCAACCCAGAAGCAGCACTGCCTAGCTGACCAGCAGTTGAGAGCAGATCTGTGAATGAGCCCAGCCAAGACAAGCAAAAGCACTATCAAACTAAATCCAGTCCAAATGGTTGTTTTAAGCCACTTTTTTGAAAGGGTTTATTACACAGCAAAGGCGAACTGATAAATCCACATTTATATTCTGGAACACACCTCTTGAGTGTTTTTTTCCTTGCAAGCAAGAGTCTTTATAACACACATTTGCACTCAAAAATATTTTGTCTTCACAGAAGCCCAAAGAATATTCAAACATTCAAACAATTTTAAACATTCTGTTCTATTGAGTTAAAAAATATATGGAACGATTTGCACAATTGCATTTTATCCTTTCCCAGCCTCCAAAATCATCTCCTCTATAGGTTATCAATTTTTAGTATATATGTGCTGCAAAAATAAGTACCCCATTGCCTGTTAATAAAAACAGACTTATGATCTGACCTCTGTTTATTTCATCTACTATAAGCACCTGCTGCTTTTATCACATAGTCCATGCTCCTGTCAAAGTAAACTAATTCCAGTTTCCTGAATATCCCATGCTCTCAATGCCTCTGTCTTTGAAAATGCTGTTTCACTTGCATTCATTCAACAAACATTTGAATGTATTGAGTGCTGACTGTGGGTAAGGAACTGTTATAGGTTCTAGGGATACAGCACGGGGAGAGATGAGACCAAAATGTCTATACTCTTCTCATCTTATCTGTGGCTAATTGCTCTTTCTCTGAGACTAAATTCAAGCAGCGACTCCTCTGGGAAATTTTCATGGCCTCCTAGAACTGAGTTACATACTCTAACTCTCGGCTCTATCACAGCACTTATCAGTATAACACAGTGGTTAAAGCATGTAAGTTCCCTCATCTCCAAAATAAGAGTTGTAATAATTACTCACTTCACTGAGTTGTAAGGATTTTAAAAGGCTACTATATAATTAGTGCACAACAAATGCTGGCTATAATTATTGG